GCCATCTTTCATCAATATTAACACTCAATGAGCATGTGAGTGGTATGACCACTGCATTGTTTATTTTTGATTGAAAGATGCTTGAGCCCCCTAGTATCTGTTGATTGCCAGGAAAACTACCTGTGGATGCCAGAAAGAAATACAAAAAACAGATACAAATACTGACTTTTTTAGAAGAATTACTTTTTGTAGATGTATGATATATTAGTCAGCCAGAAGATATTTTGACATTCCAGTCTAATTTATTCCAAAGGCGGACATTTGGTCAAATATTGGGGGCAAGCCTGTTGATTGCCAGGAAAACTACCTGTGGATGCCAGAAAGAAATACAAAAAACAGATACAAATACTGACTTTTTTAGAAGAATTACTTTTTGTAGATGTATGATATATTAGTCAGCCAGAAGATATTTTGACATTCCAGTCTAATTTATTCCAGAGGCGGACACTTGGTCAAATATTGGGGGCAAGCCTGTTATTTTGATAAGATAATGTCAACTTTTCCCATTGTTTTAGAACAAATAATCCTTGTTCTCCAAAATATTAGGCAGGTGACTGCCCCCTTGTCTCCCTCCCCCAGGTGTCCACCACTGAATTGTTCACAGAAGCGTGTACAGCTTTGCCTTAATAGCCAGCATAAAGCAGTTTTTGAAAGATTGGTAAAAAACAATTACCATTGAGTTGCAAAACTGTGAATTTAGGGCAATGGATGTTAAAAACAAATTTATATTTTTGTTTGTTTGAAATTGGCACAGTTCTAATTGTGTGTTACGAAGCATTTTTGTGTATGTCAGCAAAAGAAGTAAAAGCAAACTGAAAATTCAGCATTTTGCTATTCTTGTAAAGGGATGCAAGAAAGTTCCAGGATAAATGCTGGTGCATCTCATTACATGTGTAATTGAATTCCTGTCATATTCATCACCGGATTTATAATGTTTGAAAAAATTATTTACTGCTTCCACCCTTTCAGGCCACACTCCAACAGCCTGGCAACCAACTGAAACACCATAGTTTGTGAAAGCAAACTTTACCCTTGGAGAGGAGGGATGCCTACAAAAGAAGCCCTTGCCTTCTTCTTGTGGGATCCACATTTTATCAAGTTGTTGTATGGATCTTTGTCTCAGAACTTGCGCCCAAGGCTCATCTGGAAAATGGTGGGTCATCCACAGCGTCTCTCCAAGCCCCAAATCTTGAGTGCAAGAGAATTCTATGTAGTCTTTTTGTATCAGAGACCTCATATCAGCAATCTCACTGCTCAATGCCGCTTGGTCAAGGGTTTTATAAACAATGTAGCCATCATAGAAGTCTAAACCCCCAAAGCCATAGCCAGGGTACGGACCAGACAAATCTTCAAGCATTTTCCATACCACCCCTCTTCCTTTTACGAAGAAATGCGGATGAATGTCTTTCGCAAGTTTAACAGCCTTCTCGTGATATTCTGGTTTCAATTTACCCAACTCTCCAAGGGCATATATCCACTTTGTAAGGTAATGAAAATATTGACCGTCTCTGTCTGGTTCTTCGCCTATTCGTATACCTTTTTTTCTGCCTAGCACTTTGTAAACATCAGTGACCAACTGCTCGGCTTCGATGAGATACGCCGAGTCTCCTGATGCATAGTACAGCGTTAGCAAATTGCACAGTCCGTGTGCATCAGTCCAGAGGTAACGCAATCCGTTCGGCCATATCTTCTCCTGTCTCATAAAATCTAGCAAATCCTTAATCTCGCTGATTTCATTACATGTCGTTAAATCTTTGAACTGCTCCGAGTGGTAAAACAATAGAATTGATGGGAGAGAGGCTTGTACCAATACGAGGAAACAAACGCTCGATACTCTAAATGCGCGCGGCAGCGCGGCTCCCAAGCAATCGAGAGACTACAGCAACATAAATGTGAGGATCTTAACATTGCATGCGGTTTCATGAAAAGTTGCCAAAATATTCTTGGAAATTTTAAAAAACTTTTTCGATTTCACAACTTCCGGGAATAAAATATTTTAGGCTACGAGATTATTCAAAGAGTAAGGAATATATCGAGCAAGGGAATACGAGGCTTGTAGTCTATAAAACCCTTAAAGCCTCCATCGCCAGTGGCGTAGCATGACCTTCCAGAAAAGGGGAGGGTAGCGAAGAGTAAATTTCACCGACTAAAACATAGATGGAGGAAATTTAGTTGCTATTCCACCTTCAGGCAATTGAACCAACAAAAAAGTTTACTGATCTTGGAGGGAGGGTTTGTCACACGTTAGCTACGATCCTGACTAAGTATAGGCGCATATTAAATGTGAAATTTGGCATGTGGTAGGGGTAGTTAAAAGTATGGGGGTTTGATCGTTAAGTATCATATAATTGATTAGTATTGAATGTTGGATGTTAGAGAACTGGGGGCTATCTGGGCCTGTTCACAACAGTTTACATACTAAGTGATAGATTTATTGAGGAGATCACTGAAAATTAAAGCGTTAACCAAACTAGCTGTAGAAACTGCCGAAGAGTCTTACTGCCGCGAGGTGACGCAGCCCATTCATTTCGTACGATTTCCTTAAGACCATTATTGGATATTGCATTAGCCCAGTCATACGCCATCTCATACGTCATTTTTCCTGCATCAGAGGTGATAACTGCTAGGCAAACACAATTTCAGGACATCCCCTTCCTTTGTTTTCATTAAGGTGTTGGTTCTCCCCAAACCTTGCCTTGGTAAAGTTTACCGTTTATTCATATTATTACCGTAGTAACATGAATAATCAACATTACCGAGCAACATTTACGCATATTCTGCTAAGAAACTTACGTCACCTAGAGCACTTTAGCATACCATTTATGCCAAACCCTTCCTTTCACAAATCTGCAACTTGCATTAGTTCTTACGCATTTGTATTGTTAGAAATCTGAGTCATTTTAATGTGTTTTGGTAACTGAATTGGAATAGCATGTATATATATACCCTGATGAATCCAAAAATCTCAATTGGACAGAAGTGGCTTCAATCAGAGCACAGTCTTTCTATGTTCTGTGCTATCAAGATTTAGCTAATTTCCATTTTCATTGGCACTTATTCGGTTGGCGACAACAGCCAGTTTGAGAAGATAGAAGATTCAATTTTGCACAGCTATTTGTTAAATTAAAGGTGAGTGAATTTTCCTTTTAATAAAGTAACACAAGATGTCTCTGCATGTTACTGACACAAAGTTTTATCTTGAAGAATATAGTGTTAAAAGTTTAGGTACACGCAACTAGGCTCGGGAAGCTTTTTCTTGCTGATACTCAAATTTGTGCCCAAGAAATATAAACGTAAGATAACATGAAATGCACATTTACTCAGTTAGGATTTTTTTTATTTATCTATGTCAATATAACGTGATACAGGTGCCTAATTGTCGAAAAAAGTTTCTTAAGCAGTTTCTTATGGTTGGAGGGCAATATGGTTGTTTCTAATTTTTTTATAATCAAAATTATCATAGTACAGTACAGGTAAATTATATTAGCTTTTACTCTAAAAAGCCTCGATCAATAAGTGCCTTAGGGCTGATCTGAGGGTATACAGTATATCTATTATACACAAAATCTTGGCAGGACTGAGCACATCAGACAAGCGAGGTTGTCCCAGGGCAACCAACGCTTGTAGGCAACCAAAAATCTAAACTTGCTTGAAATTAAATTTTACAGCACCTCACTCAGCCTGTTCAAATTTGTTCTTCAATTTTGACTAAATTTGAGGCGACTGTTTTTATAAAATTGTTTTTATTGATTAAACGAAGTGAATATTTTCACTGACATTTTTTGCTCGTTTATGTTACAAATAAGTATGAGAAAGTAGCGGTACTTTCTTAGGCTAAGTCACATCGCAAATAAAAAAGATAGTGCCCAGTCGATAAATCTAGATAATTATGACAGACACAAACATTTTAGATACCTTCTCGATAACTGCATAAATGCTGTAGCGTGGCAGGTGAGAGGCAATTTGCTTCTGTCCAGTTAGAGTACAAGGATCCTTGCACAGTTCATGGCAGTTAATTATTCAGTCTCTCACTTTTCGTATAAGAATATCGGTTACAAGGTTATTCCATATCTGAACTTGACTGAAAGGGCTCTAAACTTAATTCGTAAGTATAATTTTAATAATTAATTGCTTTACTTTATGTATGCAATTAATACCCTGTTGTTACCAGAGGCTCTATAGAGTAGAGTCGAACAGCAGAGCCATCTACAGCTCGAATCTACCTTGGAGGCCTACAATGCCTGCCAAAAGTCTTGGAACACTGATGTCAGTTTCCAAGGTCAAAACCAATCATCCCCTTCTCCCCTACGGAACAATGCTGGTTTACTATCAAACGGGTTAGAATTTTAGAAAGCACTTTCTGTTGTGCTTCTTAAACGATATTTCTCTAAGTTATCAATGTTGTTTCAGGGGGAAGGGAGCGGAAGTAGCAACTTTTTTTCGGAAAAGGAATGAAAGATATACCATGCAATGCAAGTTGCTGGGTGTTCCAAGTACTTTTGGCAGGCATAGTAGTACCCCAAGGTAGCAAAGAAAGAAAAAATTGTTTTCTTATTGGTGTAAACAAAAGCAACTTGGGAAAATTTTTACTGGACTCTTACTGAAGTATCTTATAATATAATTTGTTTCCGTTAACATTTTGCCACTGCCCACTGACATGTATCAATGCAAAACTACAAAATAGTCCATTGACATAAACTGAAGAAGTAAATTCCCGGCAGACTGTGACTTATTCGTTATTAGAAACCTGTATAAAAAACATCTTTCATGAAGATTTAGATCGGAGGTTGGCAACTCTTGATAATAATACGGGAGTAAGTCTTCTTTCACTAGGATCCACAAAAAATGTCCAATGCCAGGGACCTCGGGATGTTTTTTTGGGGGGTGATGGAAAATTGAAGGACGTTTCGTGACATTCGAACAACGTTTCGAGAGAACGGTTATAAAAAATGATTTTTCGATAATTAAGCGACGAATGCAAACTTAAGCAAACAATTTATAGTGGCATAGATATGTTAAAACTCAAAAACCTGCTACAGGTATCTCTAAGATTCACCACGTGGCAGACATTTAAGAAACTCCAGGGGATTTTTTTCAATCTTCTTTTATTTTCAATGTCTGAGCTTAAATACATGTATTTATTTTGGCTTCCCATAATCCATTAGACGTAAAATTTATACGGTGTATGCATCTTGAAACGAAGGGTTAACTGTTGTCCTTGAATTTAAGAAAATGCTTGCGATTTCAAATGGAACAATTCAGTTCCTTAACCGGGATTTGGAATTTTGCTGGAACAGAATGAAAACAGAATTGATAGAATGATGGGGACCAATCACGATTAAATCTAGATAAAATACAACACCATATTAAATTCCTCTCTTGAATCTTTTCCCAATAAAACTTAGTCGGAACGTGGCCATAAAAATACAGTAACAAACCGCATAGAGGAACCTCCCTTTTTGGACCTAGGCTAAAAAGATCTTATAAAAACAATACGAATAACAAATTTAGAGTGGTGGTTGTCATTTAAGGTTCTTATTCAATCCGATGAGTTCAAACGCACAAGAAAAATACAACTGCAAAAAAAATCTTTAGATGCATAGTGTTAAAAAGTTTAAATCTATGTTTAATCTGACATTCTACGTTAATATGTATGAAACCTGTTATTTTCTGGAATACATGTTACACATTAAACACAAATTTTTTACATTAATCTAGTGGTAAAACAAGTGAGTAATACAATGCAGACAGATCAAAATAGACTTATGATACAAATCTTTATATATAGACAATATCTTATTTAAGTGCCTTCTTTTACTAAAACAAGCAACTCAAAAAATTAGATTTGTTTAATTAGTTTATTTGTAGGGAACCTTTTTAGGTTTTGAGATAACTGCAGAAAACTGCTATAGTCTATGACACTCATTTTCTTCAATTTCTTTTGTTCAGTAAGGATTGGAAAATTGTGTATTTATCTTGACAGAAGACACCATCTTTCTGGAGGATCTATAAATGCAAAGTATATAGAAACCTTTAGGGTTTTGTTCTTATCTAAAGGATCAAAAACATGCAATTTTAGGGTTAAAAGTTCTTAAAAGAGGCGGTTCTTTTATGCGGCTTTTTACTGTGGCAAGTTTTTAATAATTTTTCATTTCTTACATGTTTACTTTGAGAAACGAAATATCGTACAAATAAATGTTAAGAACAAACGTGTGAATTGTCTTTTTTAAATCTGTAGTAGCATGGCGCTTGCTGTGCGTTTATTTTAGGTAATAGGGTAAAAGGAGATAGAAAGTGCGTAAATTAAAATAAAATTTGACTCGGCTCCTGATGTGTTGATCCCAAAATCAGGTCAAAGTGCCGTGCAGACTGATAAAAAGCATCAGATTTCTTGAAAACTGGACTATAATTAACTGTTATATTAACTTTGTAATTATTTATTATTTTCGTTCATTGCATATTTCAGGCAATGCTACGAACAAACAACAGAATTCTTTCTACAGAGCAACTCAAGTCGTTTTCACGACTTGCTGCGTATGAATGCAAAATACCTAAAACCAGAAAACCTTCGAGAGAGCTTCTCAAGAAGTATGGCGTTGCACAGAAAACAGTCTCTCCATGTGAGCATTTCTTCATACCGCCACAGGAAACCCTTCTATCATGGAAACATCAGCTTCAGCGTGCGAGGAATCTTTCCATTGGATATTTCTATATTGAAAGTGACTATGGTTTGTACAATGTAGGGGTAACCAATGCTGCTGAGCAACTGCACAGGGCCAGAGAAATTCGCAAATTTGTGAAAGAAGAGCTCGACTGGTTTTCTGAGACTTCGCTCCTTCCAAGTGCTGTTGACTTTGTGCCATCACGAGCAACTTTAAATAGCTTCAGGTCATTGATACACAACCATCCTTACAGTAAGGAAATTGCACGCTTACAAATGACCCCATCAGAGCTGGCTCAGGTATGTGGGAAAAGACTGCTATCTGGCGATCATATTCGCTGGCTTGTTAGCAAGCTAAATATGCAGCAGGACGAAATGTACTGTGTCTATGCAAACTCAGTTTTGAATGTAGAAGCCCATGTCAACAGATATCTTCAGGGGAAATCCGCACCGAAAAGAATCGGGGTCGTATTCAATATCTTCAAAGAACGATCAGTTGAGCATGGAACTGAAAAATGGGATGTCGCAATAACGAGAGGTTTTGGAAACACTGGATCACACTTTGCCATAGCCATACTAGACAAGGAAAACAATGAATTAGCATATGGAGATTCACTCGGATGGTCACCTCCAAAGCAGCTCATGTCTGAAATGAGGAAGTTTTACGAGGCAGTCTTCAAAGAAAGTATGCCTGACATTCAGATTAAAGAATTTCACGACTCTTCACATTCACAACATGGTCATCGATGCTCCACGAGGTGCTCGTTGCATTTCCCACTCCAGAAAGATGGTAATATTTGTGGCGTGGTGGCAGCTGTGATGCTGGCTATGTCATGTTTGCTCCCAGAATTTTTCCAGTTTGTCTTCAGCTGTAAAAGGAAACAAGAAGATACGGAATCAAAGCTGTTCTTTTCTAATCCAACAAAGTATGACAAGTACCTCCGCCAGGTTTTGGCAGCATGGCTTGCAGAGGACTGTGTTTCGATGAAATATCTTGTTTCATCAGATGTTTTGACGGGCAAATTGCCCTGCAATCCAACGGATACAATGGAGGAACAAGAAGAACAAAGTGACATCATTCTGGTTGAATTTGACGCCCAAACTGCTTCTTTGGACACAGGACTTCAAGGAATTCCTCATGCGTCAACAGAAACGAGTAACCAATCGTCTTTCCTACCAATGGCGAATGATCTACCCGCAGCTGCAATTAAGTCAAGTTTACCTGCGAGTAAAAAAGAAGAATCAAAAAGTGTCAATTCCCAAGCCAAAATAGAATGTACACATTGTATGTTTTCAACAAACAGGCGGGGTAACCTTAAAAGACATGTGTACAGGAAACATGGAGAAGAAGCAGTCAGATCGGTTGAGAATGGTGCCTGCCTTTGCTTAGAGTGTGGACATAGATATTTTCTGATAAAAGATCTTCGTACACACTTAACAGAAAAACATGGCTACGTTTTCAGAATAACAACGAAAGAGTTTCAGTCACTCGAAGGTAAGAAAGTATTCACTTTTGTGCTATTTTCTGGTTGTGTATTTTTGAATTCTACCTTTTCTGTTTAATTTTATTGATAATTTTTGTTTGGTACACATCTCAAATCCTAAGTCGGTGCTATTAAAGAATGTATATGCTTTTACCTTTAACTCATATCAACTGAGGATAACTGATTGGTAATTTTTCATTGTATAACAGCATTAATGTCTGTACTCGATTCTTTTAGCAAAGTTGTACTGTAGAAGTGTGTAGAATGATATTTTTATGATCTACTTTTTACCTAAGAATTCCATGAGTGGAAAGCCGAAAAAGAAGAAGAGGAACAAACATCGTTCAGAGCATACGGACGTACAAAGAACAAGCTAGGCCAGACGGTCGAATACTTCCAGTGTAATCGTTCTGGAGTTTTCAAATCTCGAGTCGACAAGGAGAAGAGGCGCAGACATTCAAAGGCAGGAGGTATATCCATCAATTTACTTGCTTTTGAAATATCAGTTTTAATGATGTTATGCTCACTAACAGTTTTATATTAAATATGTCAATGTTCAGTAAAGCATATCCTTTAGGACGTAAAAGCAAAATTTTAAGCTGAGGTTCTCAAGATTTGTTTCTACTTTTAGGTTCTTGTAGAATGGACAGAAACTGCACCTGTACGATGAGAGTTACCGAAGATCCATCAAAACGCATATTTGTTGAGTTCTGCTTATCCCACTATGGTCATCAGAGATCTTTGCAGTACCTTTGGCTGTCAAAGAAAAAGAAAGAAGAAATCGCAGCAAAATTGAAGCAAGGAGTTTCGAAAGAAAAGGTGTTGGATGCGATCCGGGAAAACATTGGTGCAATTTTTTCTAGGGATCATTTAATCGACAAACAGGATTTGGCAAACATTAGAAGAGCATTTGGAATCGATGAAGTGGAGCGGCATCCAAACGACATGACGAGTGTATTATCTTGGATACAAGAATGGCAGAGCAGTGATAAAAACCCCATCCTCTATTATAAATTGCAAGGTACCGACATATTTTAATGCTTGAGGTATCTTAACAATGATTTGATTAAAGTTGTGGCTATGTAGTTTCAATCCACTAAAATAAATAATTAAAAGAACATCTTGCCTAAGAATGTCAGAACACTTTCAAGTAAGTTTTTGCTTTGGGTGAAATCGCTTGTAGAAAATAGAGGAAAGTATGAAAAAATTTTACTTAGCGAATTTCATTATTAAATCGTGATAATTAATCGTTTCAGGTGATGCTGATCCACAAGGAAATCTAGCAGAAGAAGACTTTGCAATAGTCATTCAAACGGAATTCCAACAACATCAAATGAGGAAGTTCGCAGGCAAAGGAATATGCTGCGACTCAACTCACGGGACAACTGGTAAGAAATATCTTTATTATAACACAATCAGATCCAAAACAATGATTGTGGAAACATAAATGACATCATTAATGTATATTTTCACATTTTCCTAAAAGAACGCAATTTTAAAAAACTATTGTCACAACTTTTCCTTTTTAATAAAGGATGCTACATGAATAACATGCTACCAGAAAATGTAACATTTGTAAGACGATGAATAGGCGACACTAAACATTGAAAAAATGGACAAAACAAATCATATTGATATTGGAAATGAACATCAATGAAAACATTTTGAGTGTAGCAAAAAAATTAGCTAGATGAAATATTAGATCTATGCTTCTGTAATTCTAATCTTTAGGTTACGATTTCAAGCTAACATCATTATTAATTGTTGATGAATATGGCGAGGGATTTCCAGTTGCTTGGTGCCTTTCAAACCGAGAAGACTTCTGTACCATGAAGACATTCTGCGAGCAAGTTAAACAGAAGACAGGCAATTTGGCTCCTACCTGGTTCATGTCTGACATAGCACCCCAGTTTTACGAAGCATTTAGCACAGTTTATCAGTGCACACCTCGGCAACTGTATTGCACTTGGCATGTTGATAAAGCATGGCAAGAGCAACTTCGTAGCAAAATAAAAGATTTTGAGATTGAGTCTCAAGTTTATACACAACTCAGGATTGTGCTGGAGCAAACAGATGAAAGAAAATTTCACAACTACCTCTATCTTCTCTGTGAACGCCTGCACAATTCAACTGCAACAAAGGAATTTGGAGATTATTTTGATAGCCATTGGGTACCTTATGCCAGTCGTTGGGGCTACTTCTTTCGCTGTGGCCTTGGAATCAACACCAACATGTTTTGTGAGGCTTTTCACAGGGTATTCAAATATAATTATCTTAAAGGAAAACAAAACAGAAGAGTTGATAAATGCCTTGTAAACCTAATGAAATACAGCCGAGACAAGAATTTTGAAAGAATCATAAAGCTGACTAAGGGAAAGGTGACACAGCGACTAAAGATGATCCAGGAACGTCATCAAACAAGTCTCCACCTTAGCTTTGCAAACATAACAACAGATTCTGATACCGAGTGGCATGTCAGTTCTGAAACTGAAGGGCGAACATACAATGTCAGACTTACAGACCAGGTATTATACTGACCTTCAAGTTTGAAGTTTTTGATCACTTCTTAATTTTGAACTGTTAATTTTGAACTTTGTAAATTTGAACCTTTTGATTTTGAATTTTACTTTAAAATTAAAATTTGTTGCTAGGCTATTACAAAATTGTTAAGTATGTGTTAAAAATTTGCAATTACATTTCTATCTAGTTGTTAGAAAAGAGGGCCCAGGGGAAGACTAGTTGTTAGACTACCCTGGTTCATCCTCTACAAATAAAGTTTTTCAATCTATTTATCTACCTATCTATCTACCCAGGTATGTTCAGATTCCACATGTGCACTTCAGTGTGTTGAGTGTAAAGTATGCATCCACACATACTCATGTACATGCATTGATTTTCTGCTTTATTGCACAATATGCAAGCATATTCATTTAGTACAACGCCAGAGGCAACGTCTGGGAACAACAAGCCAATCAGAGGAAGCATTGGAAAGCAGAACAGCAGCCAAATATGCAGATGATGTTGAAGAATTAATGGAGCTGACTCAAATGGTTCAAAAAGAGTCATGGGTCCACTACGAGGAATTAAAGGAAAGAGCCAAAGACTTGCTAAATTCAATAATTGGAACTGTTGAGGATAGTGACTATAGACATACAGAGGCCATCCAGCATCTGATAAGGGGTGGAATTGCACTAAAAAACACCTTCAATTCCATGAAGAAAGTATCCAATGTGGTGCAGCTTGAGCCAAAAATCAAAGCAAACAACAAAAATATTGAGAAGCAACGAAAATTCTTTGCAACAACGAAGAGGAGAAAAAAGGGAAACATCCGCTTTGCAAAACCCACTGATGATGACAAAGAAAAGTTTGAGACAAACGAGGGATTCACAGTGGCAATTTCAGAAAAAATTGATGACAAGAGCACTGGACAGCAAAACAATAGAACTGACACCATAAAAGGTCAGTAGAAAATACATACTTAGATAGGAAAGGATTTGTTAGCTAACAGGTCAATTAAGCCAAATAGTTTTATTGGTGAAGGGTGGGAAGCTGGGCTTTAGTCTACAGTTTTGCCAGAGGTTTTCTATTAAGATATATAGCTATAAAACACTTGTTGTTAAGCTTTCTATTAAATATGCTTAATTATTTTCTTTGACCCTTGGCTGAGATGTGAGTTTTTTTTGGTTTTAAAACATGCATTAAATACCTATTTGCCCTTTTTGGTGTTCCTTCACTTATTTTGTATCTTTAATCTGCTAACATGTAAGTTTCATTAACAGTTTCAAAGAGTTTGTTAAAGACGCTGGGAGTCAGAAAAACCACACTGGCTGGAAAATCAATTGATAGAAAAATTGATGTTGGTGACATTGTGTCAACTGATGATTTTCCGCACCCATCACTTGTCAACTTCAACATTGAATCTATAAGACCGATGTTTACTGAGGAAGCATGGGAAAAGGTGGAAATAATGTGTGAGTTGGCTTTGTTTTACCTAATCATATCTATATGTTGTTATACTAGATATTATCATATATCTAATAGGACTAATTCATGGCAATATTGACTGGCATAAATTTTCACAATTTTATCTGAATATTTAGGTGAAAAACTGAATAAAGAATGGACATGTTCTGTCTGCAACACGCCACAGTATGCTGAAATGATTATGTGTGATCTCTGTGAAGCATGGTATCATTGGTATGTAATGTTTCTTTCTATAATATAATATCTCAAGTTTATAAAACTGTTTTATTTACAAAATAAACTATATTTTACTGTAAAAATAAATAACTACTTAGATGCTATTTTGAGCTCAAGGGTAAGCACTTCTTCCAAAAGGGATAAAAGCTTTTCATAAAATAACAGGGGTGAGCTTTCTTATTGCTGTTAAGTGTCAAAAAGTTTCTTTTTTTAACTAAGCATATGTGTACTGCAAAAACTGGCTTTGCATGTTTATAGAAATAATTTATACCATGTTTGCAGTTGCTAATCAACATTCAAACTCATAGCTTGTTATCTGTGAGCAAATTACTTCCATTATTTCAAATCAATATATTGAATTTGGATATGAATATTAGGACTTGATTCCAAATAAGATTCATAAATAAGATTTTTGTCTTTTCTTTCATCAGTGTAAGAAGCAGATACTAAGTTTTAATTTCTCTCTAGGAAATGTTTTGGGATTTCAAAACAGATAATTGGAGCCTGGTACTGTGGGTGTGCAAAAGAAGATAGCAGCCCCAACTGACATTTTGAAATGGTTACTGATACGTTTATAATTTTTTTCCACCGGTTATCATTAAATAAGAATCTGGTCTAAGTTACTTTAAATCTATGTACTTTGATTGAAAAAGCAAAAAAAACATAAAAATATTGGTTGTTCTGAATAAGAGACAGCTTTAAACGAAATACGAACTATTCTATCATACTTGTTAATTTTATTCTATAATATCCAGCCCTTAATGGTACACAACTTTTCAAGCGACTTCCACCAGTTGCTATTTTGTACGATATATCTTTGGCCATCCTAAATCCACCAACAATTCGCAAGCAGCTAAAAAACGGCGCTTTGCAAGTGGCATATTCCTTGAGAGTTAGAGTAATCTACTCCAATTATGAACCATTCGGTAGGATTTCGTATGGGCTAAGGGTGCTTCTATGTAATTGCAAAGTTTTTTTGGGCAGATTAATTTAAAGAACTTTTATACTGGATGTATACATGTAGGTTTTTAGATTTAATTAATTTTTGGAAATTTGTTTGTAAGTTTAAATGGATGAGATTGAAATGAAATTATTAAAAAAGTATTCTTTTGATTTTCTGTATCAATATGTTATTAACTTCTCTAAAATAATATAGTATTTTGTATATTTATCATCATTGAATTGTCTGTAGTAAAATTTAAAGTAAGAACTGAACGTTTTTTAGAGTATTTTTTCGAGGGTTAGCCTATAGTCGAGCGTCTAGTATTATTGCCGACAAAACTCCACGTAAATGTTATTGCTTAGGTAGATGTTGAGGGTGATTTCATCCAGAGAATAACCATACCTTGTATTTGTATAATACGTCATTACCTCTTATGATATCGATATTGTCAAACGCACCACTCTCTCATTCTTCTACTTTTGAACCGCTTCGCTTTTCTCCGCGTCCGCGCCTTGCCTGCTTGGCGGCTGATTCTGTTTCTATGGATATCATACCAAGGCCTATCAAATGGATTCCAATTGTTCCTAACATGCTATTGTAAAAATGGCCAATCAGTGGTCGGAGCAGTTCAAAGATTTAACGACATGTATTTCATTA